ATAAATCTTTATTCCATAACTCCCCACTGATGCTTGTAAATAATAGGTATGGACGACATACTTATTTTATAAAAGATTATTTATGAATAATAATTTGTGATATTAAAAAAAAATTATCAAGGGTATTGTGTATCATCGATTATATTTCTACTATTTTAGACCATTAAACCATCACGCAGTCTTGCCCTAAGACTAATGCGATTTTATCCCACTTATAGGACAAAATCGTATTTTAAGTATTTTCGAAATTTGATTATTTTAATTTAGTGTTAAAATTTTTAAAAATTCTAAAATATTTTCGAAACTAATAATATTTGTAATATAATTATGCAATCTAATTTAAAATTCTTAAAATTTTGTAAGCTCTACAATGCTTAGAAATTAGTAGTACGATTCTACTTTACCTTCCCTACCACATACCTTTATCGCTAATAATTCTTTTCTTAAGATAACACCGTTCTTTGCCAAATTGATTTTTTTTTATGACGGGTAAATATTAGCATCTTTTGTTTCCAAGCTTATAGTATTTATATAATTACATTTTGACATTTTAGTATCAATAAGAAACGCTAAAGCTTTGTCATCCAAGTAAGGGGTTACTCCGGAATTGATTAATGATTTTTTAAATAATTTTTTCCGTTTTATTGGACAATTTGGTGTTAACTGTGTGGCTTGTGTGACTAAATTTGCGATAGCAAGCTTTCCCTCATTATATAGTTTTCTTTTCGCTGCGTATACTAGTTTTTCTGATGATATTCTTGTTGATAAACTGTGAAATTTTCTTCGTTTGGTTCTTTCTCTAGACAAACAAAAATCTTTAAGTGGGCGTCTTCACCTCTTTTCTAGTTGAAACAATGTGCGTCGATGAACGGAAAATATCAGTAAGATTAAATTCTCGTTAAACCAATTTTTATTGTTTAATTCAAAGTGCAATTTGTGGTTTTTTATTTTTTATTTATTGTACTACAAAATCCACTTATTTTATCAGGTGACTGATCTTCATAATTTAGTTCAAAATTTTGTTATAATGTTCTTAAAAATCACAGACTACGTGTTTAAGACACTTCCAGAATTTTTCGAAATTTCGAAAATGTCACCATTATTTAATTTACACATCGTTTTGAATATTTACACTGTCATGGCTCAATAACACGATACGACTAATACGACTTGATCAGCGATTTTACTATTTCTTACTATCATTGCAATTGATAAATTTATAACTAATCTCAAATAACTCAACTTATGGCAGCTTTTGGCAAATAAAAGTAATTAAAATATATATTTTAATTTCATATAAAAATTCTTTATTAATTCGTTTATATGAAATTGTACATTTATCAACATTGTACTTATTCAATATTATTATTCGATTCTTAGCATTTATTATTGGTCCATTTCATTTTGATGATTCGTTGAATTTAACATATTTATATAAATTCGATATAGCGCATTTCATTTGTTTAAAAGAAACAAATAAAATTCATATTAAATTTAGAAAAAAAAAATTCAAAAATGTGGTAAATTTTGCATGTATATTGTTTTAAGAATATTTTCAACAGAATGTGTGATATATAACAGTTTTTAGCGCAATAGTGGTTTATGTGGTTTCTTTTTTAAAATTTTTTTAAGCAATGGAAATTGAATTATTTTTTGCGAGTTTTAATCAACAAAATACTTATCTATTTGTAATATAAATCAGAAATAAAAAAATCTAAATACAAGTTTTAATTTACTTATGCAGGTGGATTATTAGTTAAATTTGAGACATATAATTTGTGTTCTATGTGTGTTATTAGTGATTACTTTGGTGAATTTGATAAATAATCATAATGCCGTAGTAGGTAGAGTTATTTTTTAATTACTGTTTTAACAGCTGTAAAGACTAGGTGCAATTTGAAATTTGTTTCGCTTTGCTCATAGGATTGTCGAAGAATTTTTAGAACCTTAAATATATACGGCTATTAGTAGATATAACAGGATGATTTATTAAACGTAAGATACTTATTATTTCAAAAGCTATTAACGTTTTTGAAAACATTTTTTACATAATTTAATGTCATTAAAATTTTTTTTAAATAAAATAATTTTTTTACTATTTTTTTTATAATTATTTATTTTTTACTTTTGTTAATTATGATATGTATTTTTTATTTTTTATTTTAAAGCAGAATATTTTTTAAGTGTTTTGATACGAGTACAAATCGAATTTTGGATGAATAGTTCATAATTTATAAATTAGTATTTAAGGTTTATATGAATAGAATGGAGTAGTATAGGAGTATCATAATATATATGTAGGTACATATAAAGCAGTGGCGTATTTAGGTTTTTGTTATGGGGGGGGGGATATGACTTTATAAATGAAGATACCAATGAGAATATTGTACAATATATCATAATATTTTAATTCTTGCAAATTTAATCAATAATTGATAAAAAAAAAAAAAAAAAATTATAATAATTTTTTAAATAATATGATGACTAATTATTTGTGTGTATATGTTACGGGCAAAGTGGAAAATTCGGACAATGTATACAATGCCCGGACATTGTATACAGTGACTGAGCATTGTATACAATGTCCGAGGTATATTGGGCAATGTAAATTGTGAAGTATTTATACATAATAATCTGCATAATATATTATGTTTTTATTGCAAATTATTAATATTACATTATTATACATAATTAATAATCATCAAATGATAAATTAGCTTAAATTATACATTTAAAATATTGTGAAGTACATTTATTCTAACAATTACATAATTAATGATTAATTAATTTTTATATTATTATTATTTTTATTTATACTAATTTATTTCAAATAATTTTAATTTTTTTTTTTACTAATAATTATACTATTTATACTAATTAATTAAAATAAAAATTCAATTCAATTAAATTATTTATTTTCACATAGTACTGCTTGAATAGCATTTTGATGTACATAGCCTATTTGCTGCTTTGCACTTATATTTTTGTGTTTTACACTTTTGCGCACATGTACACCGTTCGTTATGAGATAAAATATTAAATATATAATATAATAAATTATATGAGATAAGATATTTATCGGTTTCGTTATCGGGATATATAGTGCATTCACAAAATGCCATTAGTGTTTAACCAAAGGATAGACGTAACCTATTTATACTTTATAAGAAAAAAAATAATATTAATATAAATATTATATTATGTAATATTAATAATTTGCAATAAAAACATAATATATTATGCAGATTATTTTGTATAAATACTTCACAATTTTCATTGCCCAATATACCTCGGATATTGTATACAATGCCCGGTCACTGTATACAATGCCCGGGCATTGTATACTTTGTCCGAATTTTCCACTTTGCTCGTAACATATACACTATACAGCCTATGGGGGGGGATTTATCCCTTTGATCCTTCCTGTAAATACGCCACTGATACAAAGTGACGTAAACACAAAAAACTTGAAGTCATAATCAGTACGTATGCTTAAAATCCGACGCCAGTCAAAAATTATGTAATATTGTTAAGATTAGTATTTGTTTTTATGTTTTTACATAAATAAAAGTTATAATTTTGTAAAATTAATTATTGTAAATGTGTTCATAAGTATTTGAATTTATAATTTTTGTTTTTTAAATAAATTTGTAAAAAATGTATTATATTATATATTTCAATTTATTATAATTTATAATAGTATGTAATATAATCTGTAATGTAGCTTGAGTTATGTTCTGAGGTCAAGTATCTGCCGGTGTCGCTAGTTCCCGGATGGGTGACCATCCAGGTATTTAGTGACAATTTTCGCCACATATACATGTGTTTCAAAAATAGTAGGTACCTTCTCCCTTAGTAAAAAAATCAATTATAGGCTAATAACTATACCGATGTTGTTAAAATCTATATATATATATATATATATATATATATATATATATATATATATATATATATATATATAAATAACCTATAACCAATGGAAACTCTTTGAATAAAAAAACAGATATTTGATTTTCTGATTTTCTTTAGTCAAATATAAATTTAAATGTGAGCCGCAATAAAACAACTTATAGAAGTTAAAAAACAAGCTATGGTTATATCCTCAGTATTTCAATGAATTTATTTATATAATTTTTTATTGAAAATGGTTCTGTAATTTTTGTTTCTATAGAGGAAAAATAAAGAAACATTAATTATTTATGTATAAACATAGAAGATTTCTTATTATACCGATATTAATAAAAGACTAATGAGTTCAAAAGTTGCTCTTGGTAACATACACTTATTTTTTTTAAAGTCACTGAAATAGCTTTATAAGGTATTTTGAAAAATGCATCAGTACAAAATATCACAATTCTCAAATTATTTGCATTGTATTAATTTACTTTTAATAGTGTATCTTAGAAATTTTTTTTCAAAATGGTAAATACATATTTTGTATGTATATAAAATATTTATATATATATATATATATATAATATCTGAGAGATTCACTAATTATTAGTCAGATATTTTAGTGAAATATTTCTCAGTATAATTACTAATATTTCAAAAGGTATCGGTAATCGTTTATTTGATTACCTAAATAGTTGATACTTTTATGTAAGCTTATTTCATAGTTTTTGGTACAACTAAAATTTTTAAAACAAAATAGTTAGATAAACTTAAACACATTTTCATATACAGTTTAACATGCATTTTTTAGTATACATAATTAAAATCTAATATTGTAAGAAGGTTGATTAAAATGATTGTATTATGTACCTATCTATCTATTTTTTACATTATATTTGTACAAATTATTTTAACACTGCTTAGAATAATATAATTTAGTAAAACTATTTTATTTACTGTTTTTTTAATTTCCTATTTCCTTTATTGACATTAATTCGTTAATTTGTTTATACTGTAAAGATTATGTACACTTGACACTTTATACAAATATACTATGTAATATAACTAAATTATGTATTAATTTTAAATACTATTTTTTCCAGGAACTGTATGCAGTCAATGACAATGAAAATATAAGTAAAAAAGAAAAAACCATGATATGTTTTAACTTTTTTTTGCTAATGCTTCTTCTGTTAATTCAATTTTATGTTGGTGATACACAAACTGATATGAAAAATAATTCGACAACAGTACCTACCTTATGTAAGTTTATTTATAATATTTATCTTCTTCTAAGTTCTACTCTAATGCATTTGTAAAATATCGTAAAGGCTCTAAAATTCTTTGTAATTCTTTAAGAAATTTTAAACATAAATAGGGTTGTGATCTTCTAGGTGCATAAAACTAATGATAACTAATTAAAATTAAATATACTTAAAATAATAATAAAAATAAAAGAAACCAATTTGTGTCATTAATGAGCTCTTATAAATGATACTCATTTATATATTTTTTTATTATGTATAATGTATTTTAACCATATCCCACGACCCACGCAATTATCGTATATAGATTAAATACTTTTTGCAAAATAAAAATAAAATAAAATTTATGAAATTATATTATCGCGTATTTAAAATTTATAAAGGACTCATGTATGTTATAAAATATAGTCATTATATATTTATTTAATACGTACAAAATGAAATAAAATAATTTTAAGTTCTTACACTATGGGTATACATTATACATACGCTCACTGTGTCTGTCACAAATTATTGATTCTATAAAAATGTTTTATGTTTATTTATATTTTCTACAATAAACTCGGGATTTATCGTTATTTTTAATACCTATATTGTTTTATTGACATTAAATTAATTGAAATTTCAAATATTTTTGATAAATTTATTACCAATATTCCATATAGATATCTTATTATACTTAGGTGCCTATAGGCTATAGAAGCTAATATTTATCTCTTGTTTGCTATTTTAGCGATTTAGTCTGAATAATCTGATCATTATATTGAATAAAGCAGTATTAAAACATTTATGTAAAGAAATATGTTTCCAATGCATTTTTTTTATCATTAATATTTTTAATATGCTGAAGCTGATCTCTTTATAAGTTTACCAGTTTTGTTTAAAATAATATTATATAATAATATATAGATGGGGCTATCATGGCTTTTTAATTATTTTGTATAAATATGCATTGTAAATTATATGAAGAAAATAACTTAATTATATTTATATTCATTTTATGATATAATATATTTATATATCACCATTTGAATAGGTATTAGATATGTTACTCTATATTATCTGCGAATCAAATACAGATAAAATAATAATGTACCAATTAAATTCAAAGTTAAAATAATGATATTCAGAAAAGTTAATAATGTACAAAAAAGTATGTTAATACATGGCTTATTGTTTATCTAATATAAGTAGATATAACTTTTTTGAATTGTGTACACTATGTAGAATTATATTCTATACAATGTATACATATTGCTTAAATTTTTGTGAAATGATAATAAGTTTAAAAATATTACGGCATGTCATAACGCCGTGATGCATAGGTATGTGTTGTTGAAGTCATAGGAAATATAATGAAATGTGAGATGACAGTTGGACGGATTTGAGTGGTAGGGCACCTGAGTGTACAATAGGACTATGCTGATATTGTAATGATATAAAATTTCCATTTTGGCATTTTAGAAAAATGTTTGATAATTTATTGAAGGTTCAGCATAAATGATTAGACCAATAAAACATTCCACAATGTTATAGTATTTTTAGTTTTTATACAGGAATCAATAATATCCTTTGCTTATATTGTAAAATTATTTTTTTCTAAAATATATTTCATATAATTTTAAAGTAAATATGTAAAATACTGGTACATTATTTTACTTTTTACAGTTGCAGTAAAATAGTTCTTAAAAAAAAAAAAAAATAAACAGAAATTAATTTTTATTTTTGGAAACTGAAATTGTTTTTAAATAAAACATATTATATTACAATAGAATTTTGTTCTAAGAGAGTAAGATTGTGTATGAGTACTACTAGGTAATATACTGAGCATATTTAAAACTTAGTTTCTGTAGATGGGTATTTAATCTAAAATCAGAATACTTAATATTTTAATTTCAAGAAATAAAAATTACGAAAAGTAGATAACCGCTTTGCTGTATAGTATATAGTAAAAAACTAAATACAATTGAAAATTGTATGTGTCATATATTATGTATAGCTCATAAAGAGTCAAAATATTAAAAAAATTGCATCATGTATAGGAAATACTATTATTAATTTTAATGGAAATATTAAGTACCTACGGTTATTCGTTTTTAAGTATTATTAAAAAAACAAAATAGATTTTGTGAAAAATGTATTTGACGTAAAAATTCTAGTTTTCCTTAATTTATTTATAAAAAAATACTGAGAATTTTTACTTTTTACCACCACAAAGTACTAGCTTGATCTAATTTGTTACTAGAAACTATAATCAAAGTTGAGAACCATAATACTTTTTGTACTAGAAAAACTGTTTTAGATACAAAATAAATATATTATAATATAATTAATAAACATATTATTGTAAAATTAATACATACATCGCTCCACTCAAAAGTTAAAATATTTATTAACAGGAAATATTTCAATAATTAATAATAAACTGTGAATAATATAACATTGAAGTTAAAAATTAACTTTGTATCGATTTTTTTCGAAAACAGTTCTTACAAAAGAATATCGTATAAAAAAAAAAAAAAATTAAAAATCAGGATAAGATATATTGATTCAATATTGTAAATTAATATTTGCATATTTTTTGATTTATCTTCATTTATGATATAGTGGAGGATAGGTTATTCATTAAAAATATTTTATTTTGTTAAATGGCTATGTGTTAAAGTGTTGTTTCATTAAGTTCACAGTTGTTTTGGAATTTGTTAATAGATTTTCTTTGTATTCAGGAAATGTTTTTGTGAAATTGTAAAAATGACTTTCTCAGAAATTAAATTAAATGTTTTCTAGTGTAAAGTTAGTTGAATTGAATTAGGTATTATATGTGTCAGATTCATTTAATAATTTGTCAGTGAATTATTAATTTAATATTGTTGAATTTAATATATATTAATCTTAAAAAAAACTGTTTAAGTTAGTTAATATATTTAAACATTTATATGAAGTTTCTGTTATTTCGTTTTTAGTATATATTCAAAGAAACACTTTTTTTTTAAATCTAACACTTCTGTATAATGTCTGAGAAGTGAGTTTATGCATTTGCCATTCATATTGTATAAAGGTTGTCCAAACGAGCACAAGGTTTCTCCAAAACAGTTTTTCATCTCATTTCACTGGATTTTGGAGCATTAGCATTGTAGTTACTTTTATTACTGTACTAGTGAAATCATCCAAATGTTGTGAGTATAGTCTTTAGATAGTACGTATAGTATTCGTGCTAGATAGAGTCTTAAAATTTATGTTTGTCAGTAATGGAGTTGACTATAAAAAAAACAAACAAAATGTACGATCAATACGTGACATTAGAATTGACTAACATATTTTGAAACAAATGTATTCAACTATCGATATGAAAACATAACATTATATAATATTATATAAGTATAAATAGATTTAATAAATCGAATTGATTTATAACTTTTATAACTTTAATTTAAAAATATACGTGTACATTGTACACATGTATATTAATTGAAGTTATATGCACATATTTTTAAATTTTGAGAGGGTTAAGGAGTGTGTAATATATTTAAATACTTTGGTTATTCATTTATATGTATAAGTGCTATTTTATAAGTAGGTAATGATTGGTATTTGATAATTGTTTCCTGAAAAATTAGGAAAAATTGTTTAGTAATTTTTATTTTTTATTTATTTTAACAGCTATAATTTTAAGGTTCATTACAATATTCCATGTCTTATAATTGAATTAAAATTAAACACATACAATTTAATGACTTTGTCAATAAGAAGTTCATGTAACGCGCTGACTTCCCTGTTTTTTAAAGAAAATATATTATTGTTGTTACTCAATAAACCTTATGTTTAGATTGTAATTACATAAAAAATATAAATTATTAACTTATAAATGGTTCTTAAATTATAATTTTTATATTTATGTTAAATTAATATTTTTCTTTTTTTTTTTACTAAGTATTATCTAAATATTTTTTATTTTTGTATGCATTCATGTATACAGCTTATTAAGCTGTTAATTGTTTTAGAAACTAGAATTATTTTGAGATAAAACCAAAAGTACCCAACATAAAATTCAGTATTTGTTTTTAATAACTAATTGTATTAAATCAATTGATAAATTGTTTTAATTACTAATTAATTATGATATTGTTTTTTTATTATATACGTAATACTCGTATTACGTATATAATAAAAAATGATAGATTAATGTTGGATATTATGTAATAAAAAGTTGTATCGAGTAAATTTTCTAAAGATAAAGACAAGTATATTGAGAGAAATAATAATATTTTATAATATAGATAAAAACAAATGAAAATTTGGTTATATCAAACTTATCTTGTTAAAAATTTTCCAAGAATGAAAATTAAATTTTTTAGTAATATTTCACATTACAATGATTACTTTAAAAAAACATTATAAAATTTATAAAATATTATTTCTATTTAAACGAGTTTTAACAAAAATATTCAGAAGAAAAATTCTTGTATATGGCTATAAAAGTCATACAGTATTTTTATATAGTACTATTATTAATCAAGCCCGGATAAAGAGCTTCAGGGGTCCAAGAGCCAATACATGGTTGTGGGTCCCCGCCAATAAAAATAATTCTTTAAAATTATAAAATTATAAAATAAAACAAATTTAAACATTTTTATCTGAGTAAGATAACGATTGATGAGGATAAGAATATTAAAAAAATATTATATTTTTATTAAAATATATATTTACACTTAAAATTAAGTTTTGTTTATGTAAACAGGTTTAGTCGGTAGGTATCTGAATTATGAGTATCCATGACCGAGACAGTCATATAAACAAATTATCACTTAATGTAATTTTAAACCGAGAAAACTATGGGCCCTTAACACACGTGGGCCCCGGGGACTTGGCCCCTCCTGCCCCTCTTAATCCGGCTTGTTATTAATACCTTAAGTATTTTTTACGAATATTTGTCAAAATAATGTGATTTGTTGTGTTTTTGTTTTTCATTTTGTACAATCTACTACTAATAGTTCACACTGAATCAGTTGACTTTTTACTTAAGTATTAAAGTTTATTAAAGTTTGTTATTTTATATGATTAAAGTGGGTATTCATCTTTACTTATAAGTTATAACCGTTATTTTAACATTGGTGTTTGAATATCCAAGTATCAGTAGTGTGTAAAAGATTAAGATTTTTGTGGGTTAGGACATACATTTTTTAGGATACAGGTCAAAATTCCTACATGTACAATACCGACACACCAAATCCCGACAAATCACAATCTCGACAGTTTAAAACCTAGTCAGTTCAAAATACCGATAGTTCAAAATATCGACAGTTTAAAATCTTGACTATATCACTGAATATGTTTACATATTATATTCATTATTTAACAATTTAATTTAAAAACACAAAAACATATTACTTTACAATTACATTTTATTTATACATCATATATTATATTTTTATAATCGTTAATTATTATACAATAATTTAATCTGATAACACAAATAATATTACATTATTTTATATTATTATATTTGTTATTCAATATAATATTTGGTGGGTAATATATTATGTCTCATTGATTTTTTGTCTTTTGCCATTAAAATATATCCTTCGATACATATTTTAGTATTTCCTTTTTAGGATGTGATTGTTTGACAAATTACACTCATTTTCAAATATTATAATAGTAAATTTTAAAGTGTATGTGGTATACCAATACACTATATAATTAACACGTAAAAATATTCATTTGAAATATTCGATCGTTCACTTAGGATATAATATAATTGAGAGTTTTAGATTATTTATTAGATTAAACTTTTACAATATAAAATAAAGTTATTTTATTTTGTCGGGATTAAACATTTTCGAAATTTTGAACTATTCTAAACTATCGGGATTTTGGTGTCGGGCTTTTGACTAGTCGGCATTATCAATGTCAGGATTTTGAATACCTCCTCATTTTTTATGCCGTCCTTTTATGATCAAATTAGTATTTTATTTTTACTTATTATTTCAATTGAAATTATCAATTAATTATAAACAGGTAACAGAATATTCATAAATAAATTGAATAGGCCCACCTTATTGTAGATAGTAGAGTAATAATACAATTTTTATTTTTTATGGCTTGTTGTATACACGTATATGAAATACATGTACCTTTAATATACATTCCGTGTGTTGAAAAGTCGCCCAGTTTTTTCCTTTACCAGCGTTTTCGAATGTTCTACGGGACGACACTGCAGCGGACATTCATAAAACAAGATTCATTGTGTCGGAGAAAAAATGCATTTTGTATGATGATATCTAAAATCTAAATGAAATGTGACGAAAAATAAGCATTGGGTGGAAGTGGAAGCAATGTTTAAAAATGTAGGTAGGCGTAACCACTGTAACCGTCAACTATCGCAGTGGCGTGTAACGTGTAGAAGACTTCTTTTGGCGTAGTCTAGATCTATATTTTTGTAGAATATAAATAATATAGTAATAGGTAAATGTAATACATTTTTATTAGTTAATAGCTCAAACTCACTGATCTATAGTCCTTTGCATCCTACCACCCAGGATCCAATCATTGATTTTGGTAGGTGGAGGCATGGACCTCAAAAAAAGTCGTCGCTACACCACGAATCATGTTGAATGAAATTGGAATTTTCTATAACTCACTTTAGTCTGTAACATTATATAATTAATAAATACATTCGTTGCTTCGCCTAGAATTCAAAATATGTATTATTGCTAAATTAGCATTTATATTATGATATAGTTTTCTATTAGTTTTTACTTGATTGTAAATATAATTTTATTTATTTTATGTAAAATTCATTTTAAAGTTGATTTTTTTTCGTGAAAATATAAATATGCAACAATTCAACATTCTTTAAAATCTCAAAAAAATTGTAATTTAATCTTTAGTTAATATAATATTAGGTATAGTGATTCACTTAGATTGGGGGTTTTGAGGACTGAAGCCCCTCTTTAACATTAAATTATATATTATTATATCATATTGTCACAATTATAGAATTACAATGATAAATGATATATTTTTTTTTAATTTTATTATTATGTTTGATACACATTAATAGTTCAATAGTACGCAACAAAGTGTGTGGCAATCGCTGACGCTTATTTCGTGGAAAATTATTTTTAAATTTATAGATACTAGTAAATTTTAGGTACTAGTGATTACATTGAATAGGCAGCCGTCGACTTTGATTGACAACTACGATAACAATAATAATTTTGATTGTCTGTGGTATGGAAATCACTTTGAATAATTCAGTATTTCAGTCCGTTTGATTTTGCCGTTGTGGCTGATGAGTTAAATACGTATGTACTCAGTGTAAATAAAGTTGAGTTAAAATTGGTCAAAAACGCAAACCAACTGGCATTTCATATCGAATGATTCATGTTTTGATTTATTATAATTTATAAGAATATAATGCTGTAAATTTAATAATATTTAACATTGTTTTATTACTATACTTTAGATCATGTTTGTATGTAATAATGTCTTTTTAAACGCAATTTTCTAACGAGGACATAAAACTAAATAATTTTAATAAATTTTATTACATTAAATATTATCACGAAGTACCACCAATGGGTATCCTCTTCAATGATCATATAATAAAAAAAAAAATTACATCACTTATGTTTATTGTAAACTGTTTTATAGATTGTATACTTAATAAAAATATTTTATAACAAATAAATAAATAAATAAATAATTCATAATTTATTCTACAAACAAAATATAAAAAAAATTTCATACAAATACTATTACCTACATACCAATTAAGCAATTAAATATCCTGCGCAGTATCCTATTAAATTAAAAGTAATTTAATTTTTAAAAATGTATTATTTTCATTAATTATTTTTTATTCTACTCAGAATTGTAAAATAAATATACAAAACTTGAGAACATTTTATTAATAGTCATAATTGTGTATTTATTGACGTAATTCATAAGTTGTAACTATATATTATTTGTATAATATTTGTTGAAATAGAGTCGAATATTTAAATAAAAAATTTTTATTGAGTTATGTAAATAAAACAACAATTTATAGCAAATGTTTATTTATTTTTATAAATGTCAAACGTGTTACTTCGTTCATTTCATAAAATATAATAATCATTTTATTCTTATATTTTTCATAGGTTTTTACCCAAATGTGTTTATTAAATGAGATCAATGTTTTTAGTATAAATTTGAATTTTAAAATTAAATTAGGTTTACTTTATTGTTTGAATCAAATACTCGTGTAAGAATATACACATAATTTATTTCTGAAGTATAACTACCATTGAATAATCTTATTATTGAAACTGAATGATTTTTGAAAAAATATTTTGTTGATAATTATAGTAATAAGTATTGTTAGAAAAATCATTGGTTGTTTTGAACTAACCATATTAATAATTTAAGAGATGATATAATATAAAAAACATAAGTGTTATATTATCTGATTAGTTTTGATGCTATTTATGAACTAATCATAAAAATAAATAAAAAATACTATCTTAAATTAAGAAAATATATAAAAATGGAAATTAAATTATTATCATTTTATATTATTTATATTGTTTATTTTATATAATAGGTAATCAATGCTTGGAGTCCGATTCGTGTCAATCTAATTTGACTTCAGATATTTACCATTGTGATGAAAAATACTGTATACCAAAATCATTAGTTTGCAACGGTATACCTGACTGTCTTCGAGCCCAAGATGAAGCTGTATCTGAATGTGGTAATATATTAAAACTTATTTTATTTTTAAAATATATTATTTGTGTTTCTTATAAGATATAAAGTATATGTACATTATTTGCTTCAAATAGATCATTATTTATTAGAAATAACTTTATTTTATACATTTTGAAGTATAACAATAAGCAATTACATGATATTTTTAATTTAATCATTAAAAGTTTTAAATTTGGCGTATACTTTTAAAATAAATGTAAAATATTATGCAACATATATAGACATAAAATCTAGATTAGTTGCTATCCGACTATTTATCCATTCAATGGTTTTTAGGAACATCGAATAAGCTACCTGTATGTAGATAAGTCCCACCAATTATTTACTATATTATGATGATCATATGAGTTTAGGTTTAAACTTTTTGTTTAGTTCCAGTAAGACCAACGGTTTAAAAGGAATCTTTATGTATCTTTCAATATTTAGGTATTAATATTAAACATTTTATGAACTTTGATAATGAAAACGGATTTTAATATCTTAACATGATTTTTTTTTTAAATCCAACGAATAACTCTTTCAATAGTTTATTTATCTAAAAAAAGCCTGGATAGTTATTGAATAAATATATGATTATATGATATTTTTACATTTTTAAAATCAAATTTTGATAAGTGAGTGTTCAAATTTATTTAAAAGTTGTTATTAGGATATAACTAATATAAAACAATTAGGAATTAAAAGTTGTTTTTAAAATCCATATTGTGTAATCAGATCTTCAGTATTTTGTACCTAATTGCGTTAGAATAAAAATAATTTTAGAATGAAAATAATAGTTCGATTCGAATCCCTTAAAGTGTGTTATTTAAATTGTAAATGTCCTTTTACGGGAAGGTATCTTACTTCCGGGTAGCAACCTATTATCATGTACGATCTCGTATACAAAACATTCTTTATAATTTATAGAAAAAATAATTTAAGAATTTATGTAAAATGTGAATTACTATAGTTATTTTTACTCAAAACATTTAAAAGAAATTAGTTGGTTTAAAATTTAATTTTAATGTATAATATTTTATGCACTATTTTTGAGGATTATTTTTTTGTATTACATTAATATATTATGGTATTATGTAACTTTGATAGTTACAAAGTAAAACTATTAAATTATAAATTGTAGTTTTAGTTGATAAACTTTTTTTTTTTTTGGTATAAAATATTTTTATTATACAATCTACAAAGCAGTTTACAATTAGTATAAGTGATGTTATTTATTATACGGTCATTGAAGATGTCTGGAGTAAAGAGGCCATCCATTGATGGTACTTTGTCGTCGTATTTAGTTGATTTTATCTAGTTACGCTTTAATCCGTCTACTGGGATGATCGCCAGGGATGGTAGAATTTAATTGATCGGTGACAAGGGGGTTTAGATGGTTTTTCAGGCGGGAATGAAATTTTTAATACAAAGTTATGGTAACATTTTGGATGAGAGGGATCAAAAGATCTTGATGGAGTATGTGAGTAGTTACATAGTAAGAAGCTTTAGTGATTTGACGAAGACATTTAGATTGAAATGTTTGTGTACGGTTTAGATTTGAGGGTTTGGCTGAGTCCTATAGTTGGATCCCGTATGTTCAAATGGGTTTAAGTAAGGTTTTGTAGATTAGAATTTTGTTGTTTAATTTGAGGTGTTTTGAAGTGAGAAGAGATCTGAGTAGTCGAAATCTGTTATTTAGAGAGGTTCGTTTGTTGCTAATGTGAGCTGCCCAGGTTAGTCGATGGTCGAGGTATAATCCAAGGTAACGAACATTTTGAGTAGGAGAAAGTAAAACATTGTTCAGGTATATAGGAGGGGATTCTTTACGTCTTAATGTAAAAGTGTAGTGTTGAGATTTTGATTGGTTAATTTTTATTCCCCAGTCTTATGATAAAACTTAAATTTAACTTTAAGTATAAAGGCTATGCCTATTTAATAACGGTTTTATATAGTATTCTAATATATGGAGTATGGAGTATGGTGAATTGTATTAATAGTAACGAAACCTATATACATAAGGTGATTCATCAATCGATCTTTTGGAACTGAGGTCAACTAGTCAAGCGGGAACTATTATAAACTTCTATAATCTTCATTTTCTTATTCGTAATCTAAAACAACCGAAAAACGGGTATTTGAAACCAAATATTTTTAAATACCAGAATCGAGAAAATTAAATTCTTTAGTTTATTTTTTTTAATAAGTTTTATATTTAACTTAATTCCTAGTTTATATTCTAATAATATTAAAATATTTTTAATAACCGATTTGTTGTATAGATACTTAAAATTTATTATTATTTCTTGAATTAAATTATCCTTTCTAAATAACTGTAAGTTAATATATATTGCAGAATAGCTGATTTATAACAATTATAATATGAAGTACAAAAATTACAGACATTAACATGAACATTTATATCACTATAACGTAAATCTTATGTTGCTTATTTTATTACAATGTTAAATAAAAATATATCATACAAACAATAGACATAAATACTATTATTCAACTATTATTCAATTATTGCATAGTGGAATAATTCAAAAACTAAACATATTTTATTAATATTATGATTTATTATCTATTAGACAAATTAATATATTAGCTAAATAAAGATCCGTAAAATATAAATTATATTATTCCTACGTTATTATCTATAGTCTATACTAAAAATTACGATTAAAACATAAAAAAAAGTTGCTTAAATTTGTGCGGCTTTTTGGATATCATAGTTTAGTTTAACTTTTTTTAAAAATAGCTCTTTCCTTTGAAAAGGTTCTCGACCTCTGGACCCTGGACTAGGCTGTAAATCATTTGTATTCATACAAACATTACCTTTTATTAAAACAGATTAATGATTTTTTTTTAAAAATGTTGGAAATCATTAAATAAATACGAGTATGTGAGTGCGAGTGTAAATAATTACATGTTAGAACATTGGAATTACAAAATAGTTTTAGTCTTTAAAAATGTTTGTTTTTTCAATCAATTTTATAAATTTTTTAAAATATTGAATATTGAAAATATATAATCAATATGATATTAGTTAAAAATAATTATTATATTATGTTGATTAGATATAATGTATAGGGAGATAACGTGATTAGAATTTTATTTTATAGAAGTAATAGTAGGGAATATATAATATCTCGATAAAATTCTTATTATTTTTAAAACAAGGTATTTCAATTACCCCGTGTATGTAATTTTTAAAATAGTTCTTGGTTGATTAATGTTCTTTACAACAAAATGTGTATAGACTATAAAGTAATTGAATAATTACTTTTTTTTGTTAATGTATTCATTAAGCATTTTAAATTATTAAAGAAAATTAAACGTGGAATGTTTGTTTTTCACTTGCACGTAAAACTGTTAAGCTTTATAAGTTATAACTAAATATTTAACTATAAAAATATTAACATATTTAATATTGATATTAAACTTAGCTCTAATTGTTATTTTTAATAAATTACTGTGAAAATTTGATTTCTTTTATTAAAATATAATATTAGTTATACATATTATGTAAGGCACATATTTCTGTGACTTATAAAAATTAAATACAGTAGAAATCGTTTATAATAAATGATGTCCAAGGGACCAAGGAAAATAGGTCATAATAACTGGTGATCATTGTAATCAAAATTACGAAAAAAAAATTGTAATCTCAATACATACAGAAAGATAGTATAGATTAAAACATTTAATTTTAATGTTTTTTTTTTAATTACATTTTTTATTTTAAAATTAAATTTACAACATTGTGTTAAAAATCTATTATTTAATTTAATTTGTATAAAAATCACTCTCTATTTTTTTCTAGTTCTTCAAAATTGGTTTTTGAACTTAGCTATTCAAAGCCATATAATTTGCTAACATTTTTACTACATTGATCACTGCACTGATAAATAAATCTTCACTGGGAATAACAGATTTTTTATTATTATCGTCTTTCTCAGGTTCTTTGGATTGGTTAATCAATGAAGAAATAAATTCTTGATCACTTAATGATTCTAAAGTTAGCATATCATTATCAAAATTAATATATTCATTTATATTTGCGTAACTTATGTCTTCTTATTCTCCCTGGACCACTTGTTGTAGTATTGCATTATTGAAAACAGTGTGACGAAAATAGTTTTAAATTGTGATCTCAGATACTTTTTACCAAGCTTTAAAAATCAATAATATACCATATAATACGCTAATATTTGTTTCAATTTTGTTTTTCATATTATTGATCATTTTTAGTACCAAACTTTTTCGAAAATAAGTTTTCATACATTTTATTACATCTTGATCCGTTGGTTGAAGAACAGACGTACTATTAGTCTATTAGTGGGTAAAAATACAAGTTTAATATGGCGTAATGTTACAGTGCAATGTGCTGGACAGTTGTCAACTAAAAGTAAAATATTTTTATTTTTTTATTCTTAACTCTAAACTCCAATTTAATAAAATTTTAGAACATAATTTTATAGGTATCCAAGCTTTGGAGTTTAATTCGTATGTTACCAGAGTCATTTTTAGTATTTTTAAAACATTGTAGAATACGCAATTTTCCTCATATGTTCCAGTATGTTCACTTGTAATTTATCAGTATATTACCTATGATTATGCACATATTTTATTAGAAAATTATTTATTATAAGGACATTGAAATACTAATGAACTTTAAACATAATTATAGCCGTTAGTTTATGAATAATAATTTACATATTTTATTTTATTTAATGTATTTAATCAATGCATATATCTAACAGAATAAATAATGTGTTTGTAGCTACTATAAATTATGTTTGTATTATAATTATATGGTTGAAAAAATATGCTTATATATTAGTTGAGTAGGCCATTGTTTCAGATGTTTTATATTTATGTTGTGATATTAAACTTTAAAGTATTCATTGCACTTTTAAAAATATTCTGAGTGAAATTAAAATTTTTTCCTTGTTTCAAAACGTGTTAGTAGTTTTTTCTAACGCATAAAAAAAATTAGTA